AATTGCTTGTACAATACTTATTTTAGCCTTATTTAATAAATGATTCGTCACATGGAGCGGGCGCTCTTTTGTGGGTTTTTTTCACATATAGATATGAAGGTTCCCTGCCTTGTGGAGCTGCCCCCTGTGTGATCAAGCTTAATTAGGTGAAGGTTGTGGAATATTACTTTGCGCTGGGAGTGAATAGACTTACACTGTTTTTCTGTTTTATTCATATCTAATTTCATCATACCAAAATAAATATTACAAAAAAAACACAAGAAATTAGAAAGAAAGAGAGCACTTTAATTATCCCAACTAGCTTTGTAATTTCTCTGCTAACCATCAACCAATCAAAATGTATCAGCAAACCTAAAGTGTATCTAAGCCCAAAAGTAAAGATTTAAGGTCCCCACACACACACACCGTTCGGCATTGCGGTCATCGGAAGCACGATCTGCCTATGCAAGATAGGCAGATCGTACGTTTTTTTAAGTACCTTACAACCATCGCAAGACAAAAGTCTTGCGATGGTTGTAAGGTGTGTGCCCAGCCTTATAGGGTTATTCACAAAGCTAGCCAAAAGATCAGCTGTAGCTCTGAAATTACTGATGAACCGAAGGGCTGCTGTATGGGCTATTCACTATAGCCCGTACAGCAGCCGAAGGTGGCCGAGCCAAAGGCATATGCTTCGGCTCGACGGACAGTTGCAATGACATTGTTTAATGACAGGTGACCTGGGGACACTGAACTGTCATTAAACAATGACAAATGGGCGGAACCGGCCGTGACATCACGGCCGGCTCCACCCAGTTGTTATTCATTGGCCGGGACCTTAGCAGGTCCTGGCCAATATGAAACAGTTGGGCGAAGCTAGCTGTCACTGCTAGCTCCGCCCATTTTTCTCTTTAAAAAGAAAATATTTATTTTTAAAAATTTATAATTTATTTACATTTTTAAACATTTTTTTCTACTTTAGTTTTTTCTACTTTTTTCACTGATTTTCTATTCTGCTCGGTACCACGGTAACGGCGTTCGGCTCACTTCACTTCGGGTTGGTTATTCACACGGCTGCCTTCTGCAGCTTTGTGAATAGACTTCTTAGTATATTGCAACTTACCAATCCTTAGGTGTGATGGCTGCATTAGTTTTCTTTTTTTTAGCCAATGTTTTCCTATTTTCATCTGGTGATCCGGCCAGTAACTTTCTTCCTGTCTTAGGATGGCCCCACTCTATGGAAGAGCAATGGCGCTGCCCTTGAACAGCCCTTGGAGCATAGATTTCCGTAACCACTTCAGGGCCGCAATACGTATACATATGGAGGCCTGCAGAAGTGGTTAAACCAAGAACATGGCTGCAGTGTCATTTTAAACCGCCGGCGATGGCTGTTAATTTACAAGGGATCAGGCGTCTATACACTGGCATGTGCTGCCCCCACCCCATCCGCCGCCACCGGCTTCCCCGGGCTCCGCTGTACCCCTTGTGGTGCCCGGGACCAGCACGGCGGGTCTCCCCGCAACGATCAGAGAGAGATTCAGTGGTTTCCAACCACTCATCTCTCCTCCGATTACTGGACCAAGAAGTGATGTGTATTACATCACTTCCGGTGTCACTGTTTACATTTTCTGGCTCTTAGATCCAGGAGAAGAAGCTAGGGAAGGTCCCTAGGTGACATTAGGGGTCTGAAAGACCTCTGATGTCTCCATAAAGAGGACCTGTCAAACCCTATCTGCTATTGCATAGGGGGCTTATTAGCTCTTAATCCCCCGCCCCCCACGTGCACGCACATACAACGCAAACATGCGTCGGTGCGCCTACGCGCAAAAACGAAAATTGCGCTACACATGTTACATATCACCGTGAACGTTGGAGTGAGAGCAATGATTTTAGAGTCATTAATCGCTGTAAGCACTAAGCTGATGAGCTGTAAAAGCTTTTAAAATGTCCCCTGTGGGAAATTTTGGGTACTGAAGGTTTTTGCAGCTTCACGGGCGAACACAATTTTAAGGCTTGAGATGTTTGGTATCTATTTACACGACATGACCCCAACTTTTATATTTAACCGAAAAATTGAGTATTCTATTCTGTTTCCATGCACTAAATTTGATTTTAGAATATTTTATCCTAAAAATACTTGTTTGATAAACATTTGTGTAAAAAATTCCAACTAGCATTTTTTTCCCCTACAGGGACTCTGCTTTTTTAGAAAATATATCATTGTTTGGGAGTTTGAAGCTGTTTTCTAGCCAAAAATACAGATTATATCATGTGTGTGCACATGTAAGAAATTGCCTCAGACAGCAAGTGGTTAATGCCAAGAAAACAAAAGTGACTATAATAAAGTTTAAAACCGATGGTGGTTTTGTAACAAGCACTAGAAGGCAAGAATATGTAACAAGCAATTCACCTGATCATATATGTAATGACCAGGAAACCCAACTATTCTGAAACGTGAAGAATATTTATATCCTACAGCTATACACTGCTGGATCCTACAGATCAACATATTCTTCTCCCATGCTGAATTTTTGGATCATCTGGGGGATCATATAAATGGTTGTACAATGACATAGAATGACAGATGTGGTCATAGTAATAACAGATGTTCTTACAATGCAATACAATCAAGTAGGATACCTTCACTCCATACAGATGGATTGTCAGCTCAAGCCTAAAACAAGTTAATCTGGGCAATAAGCACCCCCCATGTATGACCATTGGTTCCAGTAAAACTGTCTCCCTATTGATAACCTGTCACTGGCTGCAATACTAAAGCACTTGAATTTGGCTGCTATTAAGGATAAAGAAGACATCTGTGAGAAGCTGGCATCTTTGTCAGCTGTCTTGAGCTGACCATACACAAGATCTAATTGTCTAAAACTAAATGACTGAAACAATTAATTTTGCTTTCATTGGATCTCTTGAAAGACCACTTTTTTGAGGGTCACTTGTATGGATACTCAGAGCCATAGATAGCTCCTTGTGCACCCGAGACAAGAACAGAAAATTATGCCCCCCAACAGACGTGTACGGTATGTGACGTCATGTGCCCCACCTCCAGGATGGCGGCCCGCATGTGCAGAGCGCTGGTGGCCAAATCCAAAATAGCATAATAATTTGTTTCATTTGACGAAACTAATTTAAAAAAATTTAGTTTCCATTCGTTTGGCCCAAATTTTTTTTTAGTCTTTGCACATGTCTAGTAATATGTGTGCATAAGTATGTGTGTGGGGAGGTGTTTTTGTTTTTAATATATTTTTATTATAATTTTTCCTTTACTGTTGGGGGGGGCTTCTGGGAAATATCGGGGGTCTAAACAGACATTTCCTTTTTGAAATAGGAAAAGAGATTGAGGACACAGAGTCCTCTGCCCATACAGATGGGGGAGAGCAGCAGGGAACCAAGGAGAAGCTGGAGCCTGTTCCGCTCCTCTTCTCCCTGCTGAGCCGCGGCTGTGTTGGCCATCTGGAGCCCCTGGCAACACTGGCGAGGGGGCGTAGCCAGGCCAGCCCTGGCAGTGCCTCCCCTTAGCGGCGCCTGAGGCGACTGCCTCACTCACCCCACGTTAGCTATAGCCCTGTGGATACTTGCTGGTCAACATTCATATTTTATGACAATCGTATCCCCTGTATAACTATGTCAAGGAAGTAATTGCTGTCTTGTAAGGACTAAGGATCTGGCATACCTAAGATCATGGAATGGTAGTTGTCACACAATTAGACAGGACACAACTAATATGATCTAAAGACTACATTTCACAGTTGGGCAATTTCCTCTATATTCATCTTTTAATATGTCCACATTAAAGATGTCATCATGTAGGATCCTATACATACACGGTATATCAATAAATGTGTGATCAATCCCATGGTCAGAAGATGCTTATTATGCTCCAAATATCATTTCTATGACATTAGTAGACAATTAGCATTTAGCATACACTCTTGATTGGCACCATATAACTTAAAATATGAATCATAGCTCCTACCTAGCACACCAACAGATTCTGAGATAATGTTGATGCCGTTAAATACAAAAGGAAGGAGGGGTAGCATTTTACTGCTGTCAATTCAGGTGAAAGGTATTTGTGACAGTAATTATGGACTTTATTCCAGCTTTTAGATTTATGATATTTCAGTTTGTTGGTAGATAATGGAATTGAAAACTACATAATATGTTCTGGTGTCTCTCAAGTATACTGATACCAACATAAAGGGTAATTTTCACCCCCAAAAGTTATATTTAGATTATAGGTGGAGCTTAGAAAGTTGGGTCAGTCCATTTTTTTGAATAATGCATTAGGAAGATCTACCTGCCATAGTTGACACGTCTATTCTTGAACACTTGGACGTCTGGGGTGTCCCCTGGGGTGCCCCCCCCCCCACCTTTGTGTGTTCCTGCTTCTCCAATGTGGATGACTACTCGTAATAGTGATGTCAGGTGTGCAGACCTAGAAATTCATTAGCAGATGTCTCAACAATAGACCCTCCAGGGGGATATAAGAAACTATTAGGTAATGTAATTGTCTTGTCTAGCATCTACCAAAAGCTGAAATATCGGCTCTGATGTACACTTACCCTTTAAAAGCTTGCCACATTAAGGGTATCGGGGTAAATGTCCTCACTAAAATCAGCTTTTAAATAATTTATCAGGTAGAACTCTTGGATTTCAAAACAATGACATCATGGATGTTTGGATGACATCATAAAGCATGGGCAATGCAGTCAACTCTTAAACACATGCAGAAACCATGCACTGATTTGTGGTTAAGGAAACCTCTCAAGACAGAGCTTTCGTGGGCAGTCCAGGCCCATCAAGTCTCGCATGTCCACGGAGCCTACAGCCCCCTCATCCACAGCAGTTCCACTAGATAATGCTTTGTTATACTGTAAGAAGGAATGTCATGAACACACCCAACAGCCACAAAAAACACATAACTAAAAGCATGCATGGGATGGTGCTTCCAGGTGTTGTGGCTTATGAAACATGCAACTTGCATGGCAATCTGAAGTTTTTCTTACCCCTTAAAATAAAACTGGAACTTTGGTTTGCTGGAGCTGTTATGCCCATATTCCCTCCTCGTCATCCTGGAAAGATTCATTTGAAGATCCACCAAGGTGTTAGCATAGGAATGCAGAGAAGAAAGACACATTACAAACAAACAAAAACTCATTGTGCAAATACCATCAGTAACTAAACAAGACATTCCCCTCTGTTACCCAACACAAACAGAACATTTCCTATCTTTTCCTCCAAAGATTGATAATGTTTTGAAACTACAGGTTTGGTTTCAAAGATGTTTATTTGAAGGAGACTGGAAGGTTGCGTGCAAGATAAAAAGAAAACACCTGTGTAGCCAAAAAGAAAAGCCTTAAAGTGCAAGTTATAGGTACAGGTTTTCTTTCTTGTCGATCCGCTGCAGGGCATTCGGGAAAGATATGTTGTGAGGAGAGGGCAGCCTTGTAATAAAGATCTCATTGACAGACACTTAACCTTAAATCTCCCATCCCAACTCGTGTTTAATGACTAGTGCCCTGCCTCGATCCCAGAGGAGCCTTCAAGTAGGGGCCAAGCTGATGGAGCATACAGATGTGGCATTTGACATCGTTTCTCCAGATTGTAGAACAATTCAGCAGAGAAAAGCCTTTAGCTCAAATCCCCAAATGTCTTATATGGGCAGCATTTTGCAGAAGAGAAAATAATTGATCAAAATGTGGCCAGATTATCATCCTAAAGTTAACCATACCGCTTTGCTCTGATGCAGTCCTATACCGTCCTGTAGCATTGTACTGCATATGCTCTTGTGATACCCTTCTTTTCTGCAGTGATATTGACTTTTGATGTCCTGTTGTATTATTTCCTGTACACTGGTAAATCTGTGTTGTGATATACTGTACTGTCATACTGTTTTTTAAGTCCCTATCACATTACATTCTATGTGTGGATGCAGCACAAGATTCTGTATCCTTATATACCGTGCGGTGAGCTGCTGACACAGTCATACAATGCCCTGCATAGGTATATACTGTGCTATGATACAGTCCTATCATGCCTTCAATCCGCTATATATACACTGAGCTGTAATACAGCTCTATGATATCTGTTAATAGTAGCTGTTGTATCCTAATAAGTCTCCTATCACTAAATGACAATGTTTTCTACCAATATCCTATCATCTACCAATGAAGTCCTATAATATACTTTGCTGCTATATACCTTTCTGATGAAGTCTTGTACAATTACATAGCGTAAAGATTGTGCTTTAAAGGAGAACTATGGAGGTGAGTGCTTTTCACTCACCTCATAGTTCTAGCCGATCTATGACAATGAGACTGTCACAGGTCGGCTTAGTAGATCGGGAGGTGAGCGAACACATACCGGCGTTCGCTCACCTCTCGATCCTGTCACGGCTCTCTGCCGTGACAGGGAAGGGGCTGGATTCCCCCCTCCCCGCTCCGATCCGCCAGCGCTGACTGGTGGAACGGAAAGGGGAGGGGGCGGGTACAGCTGGCTCTGCTTCTAGATAGGCAGAGTCAGCTGTCAGTCACGCAGCGGTGCGGATCCAGACATAGTTGTCGGGATCCGCTTCAGCTGCGGCGTCTCAGTATACCGCGAACAGTAGCTCGCAGTACACTGCGGCGTCTCAGTATACCGTGAGCTACAGCTCGCGGTATACTGAGCCTAGGGTGACGGGAGGACACTAGTTTGTATCCTCCCGTTACCCTAAGGAGAACTATGGGGAAAAGCCTTAACCCCATAGTTCTCCTTTAATAATCTCATATAGTGTTCTCTAACAATATATGTGTGCTCTTATGCTGTCCTGTGAGATCCTCTACCACTATATACTGTATTGTGACATAGTCCTATAACATTCTGTGCAACCATATATATCGTGGCCTTACACTGCCCTAATGTGTGCTGCGCCACTAAATACTGTGCTGTAATATATTCCTATGATGTGCTGGACTACTATATACTTTGCTGTAATATATTCCTATGATGTGCTGCACCACTATATACTGTGCTGTCATATAGTCCTATGATGTGCTGTACAACCATATACCGCAATCTTATACTGTCCTATGATTTGCTGCACTATATATAATGTGCTGTGATATAGTCATATTATGTCTTGTACATCCATATACAGTGACTTTATACTTTTCTGTGATGTGCTGTACCACTATATACTGTGCTATGATATAGTCCTGTGATGTTATGTACAACCATATCCAGTGACCTTATACTGTCCTATGATGTACCACCACAGACTATATATCATGTGTAGTAGAGGACATTGTACAGTAAAACCACATAAAGCAGTTTTATACCACCCTATGATGTTCTATGAAGTGGCCCCGTATAATGTGATGTGGAATAGTCATATAACGTTTTCTACCACTAAATTATGTGCTGTGATATAGTCTTATGATGTCATCTACTTCCTATACACTGTCCCATGATATAGTCTTATGATGTCGTCTACCACTATACACTGTGCTGTGATATAGTCTTATGATGTCATCTACCACTATACACTGTGCTGTGATATAGTCTTATGATGTCATCTACTTCCTATACACTGTCCCATGATATAGTCTTATGATGTCGTATACCACTATACACTGTGCTGTGATATAGTTGTAGGATGTCATCTACCACTATACACTGTCCCATGATATAGTCTTATGATGTCGTATACCACTATACACTGTGCTGTGATATAGTTGTAGGATGTCATCTACCACTATACACTGTGCTGTGATATAGTCGTATGATGTCATTTACCACTATACACTGTGCTGTGATATAGTCCTATGATGTCATCTATCACTACACACTGTGTTGTGATTCAGTCCTATGATGTCCTGCACACCTATATACAGTGGTTTTATAATGCCCTGTGAGGTGCTGTATCACTATATACTGTGATGCAGAATAGTAATATGATGTCCGATACTCCTATATCTGGGCAGAACAGTGGCATAGTGGTTGGCACTCCTTCCTCGCAGCACTGCGGGTCCCCGGTCAGGACACTATCTGCAAGGAGTTTGCATGTCCTCCTTGTGCTTGTGTGGGTTTCCTCCAGGTACTCCGGTTTCCTCCCACACTCCAAAGACATGCAGGACGGTTCATTGGCTCCTGTCTAAATCGGCCCTGTTTGTATGCATGTGAGATAGGGACCTTTGAAGGTAAGCTTTTGAGGGCAGGGGCCAATGTGAATGTGCAACTATGTAAAGTGCTTCGCAAATTGTCGAAGTCATATAAATACCAATAATACATAAATAAATATTATCCTCTACCATTGTATACCGTGCTGTAAAATATTTCTCCAATTTCCTCTACCACCCCATACTGTTTTGTGTATTTTTCTGGGATGCTGTCCTGTACTATCTCATACTATGCTGCTGTTGTAACCTGTAGCAATGTACAGTTTGGTATTATGCTCTCCTATCACTATATATTGTGCTAAGATTCTCTCTTCTGATGCACATTACCCTCTGCTAGCATGCAATATGTTTTTGTGTGAAGTCTTGTTCTGTTGTAGAAGTCTCTGTGAAACTTTACAGGCGTTACGGGGAGAATGGCTGGGGGACAACTTCAGCTTTATTGCTGGGGCCAGAGAAGGTTCAGTCCCTTTACACCTTTAAACATCAAACCAAGATGTGAGGTAAAGGAGAAGCCTGTAAATTAAAGCGGCAAGAGAAAAAATTGTTTTCCAAGAAGCTCTTTTATTTTTAAGGCTCGTAATTTTTTACAAAACTCCAACATCTACAGAGACATATTAAGCTTGAAACTGAAAATGGCCTATTATATAACTAAAGAGCAACGAGGATGTGCAATGTATGTAGCACACAGCAACCAATCAGCTGTCAGTTTAGGTAAGGCTGGTTAGTGATTGGTCACCAAGGGCTACAAAACGTTTTACATCACTCTTACATTATTGTATGAACCCCATCAACAAACCTGATCTCCTGCCGAATATAATCCACGACAACTCAGTTCTCGGATACTGGCTCTGCACGGAACCCAACCACTAAATACACTGAGCCGTTATTAATTATGATTGAAGCAGACAGGGCCCTGGGTCTACATCAATATGCCGCCAGTACCACTGGTCTTACTGCTCCTCGCATACAACAGTTCTCTCATGTCAATGATTATTATAAAACAGATGTTGGGAAATATGTCGGCATGCTCTGAATTAAAGTCGAATATTCCAAACGTCCAGAAGCGAAGAGAATATAATCCAACAAGCGTGGATCTTATGAACGTTTCAAACGTTGCCTGCTTTTAAGTGCCAGACTACATCTAAATATCATAATGTGCATCACACTTCTTTCCTTTCATTCCAACTTTAAGAAACATGTTTAAAAATTGTTATTTTGAAGGACATATATAACATTTTGTATACATTTTATGTTCAGGACTACAGCATACAGTTTTAAAATATATTTCATCATTTTCTCTAGTCTAATTAATAAGAAACACTGCATACACATTTTTTAGATGTACCACTTGCAACCACCAGGGGGAGATCCAGGCTATGTTTCTTTTTTTGCCAGTTTGCCTTTATTACTTTGCCGTGTATAATTCATGCTAAGAAAATACCTCCTAATTAAAAATATCAGTTTATAAACTTGTAATAAAATTAACACAATTTATAAGTAAGCGTGAGACATTAAATACAGATTTCTTACAAAAAGAACAAGAACTCTATTTGTTATCAAGATAAAAAAAACTGTAGCACCAAACCATGATATCTGCCCTTACTTGCATCAAGGTTCCAAAACCCAAAGCTAAGGCAAATGTTCTTCCCGGGTCAAAGCCACTAATGAGAGGTATGACCCAAGCTGTACAGCGCTCCAGTCGCATCACCTGCCCCTCTTCTTTATCCATCATTCTGAAAATGTCTTGTATTTCTTAACAGAATACATGACATTCTGTGATTGGCTGAGGAGAGATGGTGTCACATCCCAGCCCCCTCCTCACTTCCCGAAAATATCAAAGCACCATGCGTCCATACTTTTCTAAAGAGGCCTCAGCTCTGATGTAAGCAGTGGACAGAATCTTGGAAGGAGGTTCG